GGGGCGGGCGGGGTTCATGACTGTGGACATGATGCTGACGGTGAAGGAGGGGACTCCTCTTCTTGACTCCGGTGAACAAGCGAGCGTTATCCAACACATCCACACCGATAGAAGCTGCGTGCGTCGCCTTTGTTGGTTTTGCTGTTGTTCTTTGGGCCATGTGCGCGGCGTGCATGGAGGAAATGGGCATGCAAAGCGAAAGCAGGCCGATGGATTGAAACCCAGCCAGCTGCTCAACTTCACTGATATTCCAGCGGCAACTAAATTGTCACCTTTTCTAGTTTCACCTTATCTCGGCTCACCTTTCAGTTTTGTCGCACGAGCAGGACAAAAGTGTATTTCTTTTGTAAAGGTGACAATAATTTTGCCGCCGGAAGCCCGCTAATGAACGGGTCACGGTGGCGCTTATTAACCCCATTATTTGCGCAATGAAAAATTGACGCGTCACCAAATTGGGGAAAACATTTTTTCATCGCTTTCTGCGAAATGTGCCACTTATTTCAAATTTGCTATGTCGGTTTCGCCTTAATCGTTCTGAACTTTGAAAATCCACCCGTCATTCACGAGTATAACGTTGTTCAGCTGACAAAAGAGTTTGATGACGATCATGTTTCTGACTCGACAAATGGAAATTTGCCGTTCAGATTACGTGAGTCGTGCTACTTACTGAGGGCGATATAGGGAAGCCGATCACTCGGGCCCTCTCTGGACCATTTGCAGACACCTTTTGCTCTACAAATTCTATGAGAGCGCGAAAGGGGGCAACGGCTCGGGCGAGAGAGGGCTCGAGTCCTTCGGCAGGTCCCTATACACACGACGGTGCCACGAGTACGTGTTTGTAGGTAGGAAGCTCAAGCACCTAGGGACTCACTCTCGCAGACCGGGAACGGTGCCGACCAGTTCCCGGACGCGAGACAGACGATCTCGGAGGCGCCGATGAGCGAGTTGCCACCCGGGCATGACATGGACACGCGCGAGTTCATCTTGGTCGACGTCGAGGAGTAGACCAGCCCCCGTTTATCCGGCAGCTTGGGGCAGTTCACGGCTACGCAAAGAGGCGTCGCAACATTTGTCACACTCTTCTCAAGGAACAGTAGTAACTATTCAGCTCGTGGACTCACCCTTGACCTCGATGGTGACGGAGTGCGTGTGCCTCGTGGGCGTGGTGCACGTGAACTCGCCCGAGTCGTCCTGGCTTGCGTGCAGGATGCTGAGGCGGTACTCGAGCGCCGAGTCGCGCCCGTCCTCCGAGTTCCAGCCCGTGGGGTATATCCTGCGCACAGACGGTTGGCGTTGGACTTCAGCGAGAGCCGGCGGCTGCCCGGCGGAAGGCGCTGAGGCCGGCTATGGGCCTCTAGCCGCCCCGGGCCTCCCGCTGCACCTGCTTCGCTAGGAGAGGGGTGCAGGGTCGTGGAGGTCAACGCGACATGCCAAGCAGATTAAGGGTTTGCCGTGGAGCTCCAAACAACCGCGCCGTCGGAGCAGACGGAGCTCGCGGGCTCCAAACTTGGGGAGCAAGTCACACACTTTTTAGAGATTGTTTAGTTACAACTACTAGTAGATATAACTGTTTTTATTTTTTGAAATAGGAATTACTCTTTTTATTATTATTTTCTAAGGTCGAGAGTTCTACAACTTAAGCCGTTATCTATGACTTCCCTGAGGGCTACATAGGCCGCCGTGCGGAGATAACTCGAAAGCAAAGGGACAGATTGGGACATGCTTCTACCGCTACAAGAACCACTTACTTTTGTGGTGCATCAGTCGAGTTAGTCGTATTCAAGGTGTCAGTTAGAACGATAACAGCAGAATTGTTGGAGCTACAACAGCAACAACAACAAAATAACAAGTCATTCAAACGCTCATCGAACGTCTCACCACACATGATAGTTTGCCACACATAAAACGCATGCAGAGTAAATATTTTCACACCATATTATGTTTCACTCTAACACAAGAAGCAGGCGACGACATTCGCTATATCGGATATCTTCATACAATTCCACTAACACGAATGTATCACAATGAGGCATCGCTGAATGGATCTTAAAACTCTCAAACTTTTAAAATATAAAACTAAGCACAGGACATAAAAATAGAGCCTAGCCATGACTTGAAATACATCTATGGGGCAAGCTACGAAACTTCTCTGATATATTTTTAAAACTTCCTAGCTCTCTCTGGCCTAGCGCCTTGGCAGGGCAGCACGGAACCAAGACTGACCGGTAGCTGTGGCTCACGGACCACTTGGGAGTGCCGAAGCGTCGTATCCAGAGGCACTCCATGTGCAGGACCACGCCTGGGTACACGATCAGCTTGCCGTCGTTGCTCTGGGCGATGGCCCCCAGCCTGTGCCGGAACAGGATGGTGGGCGGCTTCTCCACTGCCAGACGAATGAAACGCTTTGTTATCAAAGTCAAGACCATTGTGGTATGTTTCCCTTTAGCTAGTCTGGTCTGGCACTCACGCGCGTAGTCGTTCTCTTGGTTCAGCCCGAAGCAGACGGGCTTCTGGCCGTCCCACTCGCCGCTCACGCAGCGTCGGTGGCTGGACCCGATCAGCTGGTACTTGCCAATGTCGCGGCAGCGGGACACCTGCAGACCGACAAAGTGTCAGAAACAACCGCCTTTCGCCTTCGATATCTCTGTCGATCGCCTTCACGGTACTCACCACCACCGCGCCGGCGGGGAGGTCGACGACGTCCACGGTGATAAGCTGGTCGTTGTGGAAGGACACGACGTTGGGCTCGGTGCTGCGCAGGGTGCAGGTCGTATTGTCCCTCATCTTGCTGTCCGCGAGGTCCTCCATGTCTGCAAAGTGAGAACGGCGTGTGAGAAACGACTGTCGAATCGAAACGATATCTCAACGACATCGAAACGATATTAAAAAGACACAATCGTTTCGACGTCGTTGTGGCATTCATGTTGCACTAAGAAAGGGCGATGCGATCGCGGCAATGACATTGCGGCGGTGACTCACCGCAGCTGAGGGAGCGGCCAAGCCATGTGCCGTCCTCGCAGAGGATCCGCCACGTCGACTTCTCCCCCATGATGCTCGCCATGCAGTTGAACGTCACCTCGGTGCCGTCGGGGAAGCTGCAATCCAGATGGGCTTGTCAGTTGTTCAAACCGCGCGGAGACCGCACTGATTTCATCCCGATAGGTTCTCGTTTCTCACCTCATCTCGCCGTCCTTCATGGGGTGGCCGTTGATGTACACGAGCGAGCCCTGCACCTTCCCCGGCGGAGTGCACGACCGCCGGTCGCCCTTGTCCACCTCGCCGAAGAGGTCGATGTCGCCGCCCGAGTCGCTGCCGCGGTAGTTGGTGTCGTCGCCTGCGGGCAAGCGGTCGGCGGTCGGTGAGCGGCTCTCAGAGCGCCTGCCACGGCGGGGGTAGGCTAGCCGCCGCGCACCGGTGCGGGCCGCAGCAATGGCGGCCTACCCTCCAGGCGCTCACCTCCCCGGCGTGCGTTACAAACGTATGTGCGGTTACTACACGCGGGCGTCGGAAGAAAGCGTTACAGAGACAGTCCCCAGCAAAAGTTAGAAGACGTCGCCAGTCACCACTGGATGCAGCAGCAGAGCTTCACCACCACCACTTGCGAACACGACACAGACGCACGAAACACTGGTGAGTCGGAGAGCACAACAAACCACCAAAAGCGATGAAAACCCAAACAAACACACACCAGAGGCACACAGAAACACGGTGCCGGTACCTGCGCAGCGGGGCTCGGGGGCCATGACCCCGGTCCGCGAGCAGGTCGCGCTGCGGGCGTGCTCAGAGCCCGACAGGCTGCCCGGTGGGCCGCCCGGCCCGGAGCAGAGGTAGCTGACGATGGAGCCCGGGCCCACGGTCAGGCCGGCGCGGTAGCCGAGAAGGTACTGGCCGTCCTGGACGTGCGGCAGCACGCACGGCACCGGGTGCTGCAGCTGCGCGCCGCGGTGCTGCACCCAGTGCTGCTGCGAGCCGTGCTGCTGCGCGCCGTGGTGCTGCACGCCGCTGTGCTGCACGCCGCTGTGCTGCACGCCGCTGTGCTGCACGCCGCTGTGCTGCACGATGACGTGATCCTGCGCGTTGGGGCTGCGGGAAGCAGCGACTACAGGCCAACTACAGAACGTTAGGGGACAGCGCAGTGGTGTGCCTCGCCTCGGCCTCGAGGAGGGGCGCGGTGTCGTCGGGTGAGAACCCGGCCCGCGGGGCTGGACCTAAAGGGGAGCCAAGTGCAAGGGAGAAACGGGTCGGTGTCCGAGGCCATACCCCGGCGACGCCCCCGGCCGCCCACTTCGCCTACCTGGCTCGCACCACGGCAGCTCCGACACGTCCCACTCGCCGTGCTTGCAGCGGAAGCGCAGCGCGCCCACCGGGTTGTAGCCGTTGATGCACGAGAACTTGACCTCCTCGTCGCTGCTGACCTCCGTGTCCTCGATGAGCAGCGCAGAGTCGTTGACGCGCCGGTAGATGGCGTGCTCCGTCTCCGGGATGCGGCAAGGCACTGGGTAGAGAAGAAAATATGATTTGGAACCGCCCGGAAAATGCACTCACTGGTTAGCTGGATTTGGGCGTACCGATGATGCACTCGGGCTTGGCCGGCTTCCACCGGCCGCGCACGCACTTGGCCGTCAGGTTGACGCCGATGCTGAGCTGGTAGCCCACCTCGCACGTGACCAGCACCGTGGAGCCCGACGAGGCCGAGTCGTTGTGGTCGCGGCCGGGCTTGGTGACCACCACGTGCGTGAACGAGTTGATGTCCAGCGACTCGCACGTGACGGCTGCGGGGCAGAGGCGCAACGTCAGGCAGGGCCGATAGCGTGGCACTGACGCCCCCGCACGGTGTACTCACTGTTGCCGGGCGACGTCTTCTTGGTCGAGTCCTTCCTGGTCTTGGTGCTCTTCCTCCGGTCGCCGCCGCGGTGCCGGTTGGCGCGCATCACCTGCGGGCCGACGCGCGTCCGCGAGGCGCGAGCCTGCCGCGACAGCACCGTCCCGTTCCTGGGCAGAGAGAGGCGAAAGGAAGGCATGAGTCTCCAACAGGTCGGCCGGCAGCAGCTTCAGCTCGGCGACTTACTTGGCTTGAGTGGGGCTCTTGGTCGACCCGGGCGCGGCTGCGTGGTGCTCGTGGGAGGTCTCCTCGGAGGACGCGGCAGACGAGGACGACGACTATGTGCACCAGAAAAAAAACAACCGTTCACAATGAAAGAGTATTTTGATGGGTAAAGGGAGAGAATGAAGCAAATCCTATTAATTTTGTGAAATAACGGGCACTCACTTCATCGGACTCGGAGTCGGACTCGGAGTCGGACACATCGTCGTCGTCGGGGTCCTGGTCCGGGTGCGCCGCCCTCCTGGCCCGCTCCGCACGCCATTGCTCGCGGGTGCGCCCGTCCGCCGTGAACCAGGACACCACGCTGGGCATGCCCATGGGCTCGGCGCCGTTGTGCGCGGGCTGCACGCGCCCGTACAGCTGCGGACACGCGTTCAATGTGTTGAAAACGCGGGGTTCTCCACTCAAAACAACAATCAGTGAACACCCCCAAAAAATCAGAAAAATCACGGAAAATCAAAAAATACAGCGCCTAACGGGCATTGCAGGTAGGCAACACGCACGCCTGCGTGCGGTACAGCATAACCACGACGACTGGCGGGTTCGCCTACCCCAGGTGGCCAGAGCGCCTTACGGGCAGTGCGGCAGTGTGGCACTAAGCTTTAGACGTGAATCACACAGTTAAAGTCTTACGAAGCAAAATGCCAAATGCTTCGTACCTACGAAGGATTTACTCCCTACGAAGCGTCCAAATCCTTCGTATTACAAAGGATTTGGTATTTTTCTTCGTAAGACTTTAACAGTGCACCTGCGTGCAACCGGCAGTTAAAATACCTCTTAGAGCCGGACTCACTTTACCTATACAATTATGAAAATGAAAAAATGTGGGCCCTACCCACCCCGCTTTGACACGGGGACCCGCCTGTTTAACTTCGGAGTTCGGTATGGGATCCGGTGTTTTCAGGC